TATTTACTAAAAGCCTGGGTCGCAAACTTTTCCTTTATGACAAACTGGGGAAGCGTTGGCTGGGCGAAAGTGACGCGCATGCAAAGATAAAAACCCTCTCTCATCTTTTTTTAAATTTTTTATTTTTATTTTTCTTATTATTTTTTTTACTCCTTCCGCTTCGCCCTCACTTATCCTGATTGGATGATAAGAAACAGAATGAAGATATTAAATTCATTAAGGTATGGATGCCGCGTGATAACAGCGCACGAAACCTTCAAGTAAATTAATCTTTGCATGATTGAGTTCTGTAAGATGTGCCACACATTATTGTCTAAGGCCCAAGATTGGGATAATGAGAACTCTGTATTTTTAAAACGAGCTCAAGAGCTTCAGCAGGATGGTACATCAAATAAAACAACTTTTCTTGCTCTCTCTTATGTTAGACCATCGAACGTACTAAAAAGGACACTACTTCGAGATGAATATCATCAGAACTCAGCTGTGCACATCCATCTGGCATTAGGCGAAAGTTCGATCAGAGATATTTGATCAATCATGGCGCATGTGTGGAAAAAAACCTGTTTGACAGGTTGGCTATGCTTGCTTAGAATAGAAAACGTAGAATGAATCAATTGGATAATAAATAACGTTTTAGACGTTTCGGTTTTTAGTATCGCTGAGTACTTTGACCTTTATGTATTTTAATTAGCCCGCAGGGCTCGTCAAAATACAGAATTACTCGTGAAAATACTATATATATATATTTTTTTTCTTTTTTTATTTTCTACGGAATCCGTAGATCTCAATAAACTCCCTCGGGGCTACTTTGTATGTTTTCATTTTTACGATTAATTTATTCTTATCTAGATCAAGTTTTTCATGCGAAAGAAGACAATTAAAATACCTGGGTTATATCCTCAAGCAATACTCTACCAGAGCAATCCTTCGTTTTCTCGATGCTTTTTAAGATATTTATACGTATATCTTAGCGGGATCGTCGAAAGTTTCACCCATCCAGAGCTTTGTTTATTTTACGTGCAGTTTATCATGGTCCCATGCCAAATTAATGCCTCTCAGATTTACACTCATATAATACCATTAGTTTGAGAGTCAACCATACCAATAGAGAGAGCAGCACCTATAGACACCAGTTGTCGTGATAAGCAAGTTCGCTCACCGAGATGGTAGTTCCTTTTGAAAACCATGATTTTAAGTTAAAAATATATCCTTGATTTTACGCCATGCTTTTACTACCTGAAATGTTTATTTGTTTGGGCGTGTTTATCACCTCGAGTTTCTATGTAAATTGCTCTCTGATTTATCGCACCGCTAAGGATCATCAGCAAACGACGGTTAAATGAGCAGCACTTTGCCAACAAGAACAACGTTTTCACTCTCGAGTCTCGTATTTAGTACGTTGCGCTTGTCTTGAGATCAATACCTAGATTTATCAGTCGCTTACACGTTTAGGACTTCAACTTATGTATTGGGAGCTGGAGCGGGTAATAATTTGTCTCCCTAACACTACAATTAACTCCCTCTCCAATGTCGACCGTATGAGCAGTTGTGGAGGAGACTGGAGATGAGTCGGGACTAACGACATCGCAGAAGTCTTACCAACGCACATCTAAAATCAGTTCTGTAAAAGAAGTATACGAACGGATTAATGGCTGACTGAAAAAACAGGCTTAGTTCCCTCAAAAACGGCCCTTCTTCTTTGCCAAACAGCCTGAAAATATTGTATAATCCCCTAGGAAACCAACACATCACAAAAATAAACACCACGTGGACACAAGCGGTTGTTCTGTTTCTTCCCGCCTAGCGCGATGTTTTCCGCGTGTATTTATTGCTTGCATTATTTTATACTTGAGCAAGTTTCTGTTACGCTTGCATTGTTCATTGTACCCACTCGACGATGTTATTTTCTGATTTCTAATACAATCCTGAGATTTGCGACTAATAGTATAGAAACAGGTAAGGTAACCAGCGAGAAAACGAGACATGAGTTAAAGACTCGATCCTTGTATAAAGCTCGATGCTTAGGTTGCTTGATCCACCAAACTAAATGGCTTAGTGTCAAAATCATGGGAAACGTCCATACTATCGAAAGAATCGAGATGACTTTCTTCAAGTTGATTTTTGCATTGTACTTGAGAGGACTCATCACCGCTGTGTATCTGTCGTAGGTAGTTGCGAGCAGATTGAGTTTCGTTGCCTGAAAAACAAAATACCTCACGGAACCGATCAGCCAGCAATATTCGCAGACTCGTTGGCT